ATATAAAAAGAGTTAACAAGCAAAAAAAAAAAAAATTAGAATTAAAAGGCAGGGAGAGGCAACAGATATTAACAACAATGGAGCTACCACAGCAACTCACATTTCCTTGGGACCCCCAGGCCTGATGACGTAACCAAGTTTTGAGGGACTTACGGAAAATTAACAGGGACGGAGCCAACCTCAATATGAATTGTATGTTATGCTGTAAGCCACTTAGAGTAGTATGATTGAAGTGGCATAGAAGCATTTGTAAATTAATGACCCAATTAGTTACGGAATATTTTATTCAGCCAGAGAAAAAGTCCAGATTTCTAAAGCCAGTTAAATTTGGAAGGATTAAAGATTTGTCCCCATCTAATTTTAAAGTATACCTGATTACTTGTTACTTCAAAATTAGAAATAAGGACCCTAAGGAACTTCTTGTGTATTACTTGAAATCAATTACAGCAACTTGAGTTCCAATGGAAATTCCCCTGTGCCTTCCCATTTTACATTTTCTCTAGTTTCTTTATCGTCAACATAACAAGTTACACTCCATTGGTTCCTTATTTCAAAAAATTCAGATTCAGGCTTCTCAAATGTATTTAATTTAGTTTAAGGAAGAAGTAAAGTTAATGTTGGGGAAGGGGGGGGAACAACTACGCGATCTTTCAAAGTGTTTAGTTAAAGGTTTAATTTTTCTAAATAATTGGCTGAGTAATACTTTATTTAGAAAATGGGTTGGCTCTAAAGTAACATGAGAAAGAATAATGTGCAAAATTCACCATTCCAGTGACACACATTCTCCTGTTCCTTGGCAAATTCTTTTTTTCTCCTGGAATGTGCCAATCCAGGTGCTCTGATCTGAAAACTGGTTCAGAATGGTGCAAATCATTTCCTGTTGCAGAATATTTTGTTCTAGGAAACTACCAAATCATCCCCAGAATCACTGCATTAGTGCATTCAAGGAAAAAAACTAAACATTTTTGGAACACTGGAACATCATGTCTCCAAAAAGTGAGTTTTAAATGCATCTAATGGAAAACAGACCTTACTGTAATGCTTTCTGATTCACAATGGACATTTCTGTGGAACTCACAACCTACCTGAACTATTTCTGCTTATCCCTGCCTATAAAGTTGACATATTAATCCCTCGGTTTGAAACATATGTTGGAGAGGCTTTAGAGGTACAGGAACACTCACATGCATGTAGCTCATGTATCCAGAAATATGTATTTTGGCAGTAAGTTCAAACTCCCAGGTTTTCTGACATCCCAAAGCAACTTTTATTTTGCCTGGCTGTAATTCTTCTTTCAATTTCATAAAGGCTCAGTTCTCTTGATGGCAGCTTAGACAGAAATTGCTGCTGCTTAGAATCTGATTCTGGACTATCACTGTTTAATGCTTAAGTTTGGGTATGGAATACTGCTCTACCTGAGAAACATTAGAAAGCTTAAGCAATTTGAAACTGGATGTATTTGTCAACATACGTTTCGCTCTTATTAGGCTTATTATGAACCAAACACATTTCCTCAGTCCCTCACCTCAGCTGTCCTTTTGGCGAGAGAGATTCTAAGACAAAGTAGTATAAGAGGACAGATAAAAAGGATTTCTTTGTTTATCTGGTGATACTTCTGCAGCCATATAAAATGAACACTTAACAAACAGAAAAAGTAATCAGGTAAGTTATTTGATACTTCTGAAGATTAATTTTGATTGCCCGAATATTTCTTGTAGTTCAATTTATAATGCAAAACCTTTTACAAAATAAGGTATTTTTTTTAATTCACATACAATTCTATGATGCTCCAGAAGAGGCTAATAACATTTTCAATATCAGATGACTACACGATTGTAATAAAAGCAAAGAAACACTTACTGATAGCCTGTCATCTTCCCGTCTCCTCCGACCTCTGAAAATGTTTCTTCTACAAATTAGCAAAGAAAAGCCTCCATGAATATTATGTTTACTGACTGATATGCATTAATGACATAAATGCCATAACAATACAAAGATCTTACCTGCCTCTGCCCATGCCATAATCACCATTTTGTTCTACATGAGTAATCTGAGACTCCTTCTGTGAATAGCTGGGCCCTTGATGTCCGGACAGTGAATTTGCTTGCCGTTCTGACTGAAAGTTCCGTAAAGTGGTTCTATGCAAGTGTCCATCACCTACTGAAACAGCACTGAGTGTGGAGGGTGCTTCTGATGAGTGTTCTGAGCTACCTGACAACCGGAAGTGAGTCTTCACACTGGATTGACATATAAAAACAAACGAATATATGAATTCCTGCTACTACACAATTATATTACCCCAAAGCGACTGTGACCTCAGAGGAAGTTAATGTCTTAAGAAGCAAGGAAACATTTTTTCCTGATCATAACTATATAGATCTGTTTGTTAGCCAAACTACAATTAAGAACTGGCAAACACATTTCTTCAAATCAATTCCTATAGAGTACTATCCAACCACAACTGTTCCCTAGGCAGTTTATAAATGTATTACTAACATAGTACTGATATCTATATATCTCAATAAAGCCAGTACCATATAAATAGAAACAAATAATAAAATACAGATAGGATTTCACCAAAAACAGCAGCAGAACAATATTCAGTAAATCTAACATAGTTTTCTAAAATGCTTGCCATCAAAAAAACTATGTTTCTGTGCACCTCAATATTTCACTTTAAATTACAACTTCAACCACATAAAACAAGACTGTATATAGATGGCAAGTGCATTGCTATGGATGTTAAAGAGATTACACTGAACATATATTTAGGAGCAGAAAGATAGGACCATACAGGTATACAGTATCACATTTTCATGTTACATAATCACTTTCAATTTCTGTTTATAATCCCGTCCATCCCTTTCCTAAATTCAGATAAAATATTCTGATAGTTATTCCACTTTCATCCTCTTTTCCTCTCCTATTCAGAGCTGAATTTAAGGAATTACAATCAAATGCTTCTTTTTTCATTTGGGGTTGAGGAGCCATCTAAATTTTAGACAACCAAGGATGTCTATTCCCCTCCCCACTATTCCTATTCAGTGATATAATAGTATGAAACTTACAGTTGATTGATAAGTAAAGAGGATATAACAATCCTCTAAGTTTTTTATTTAACATCTATTTCCTTCTTCTTAAGAAGTTCCAATGCAGAAACTCCTCCTTTACCAAGGATTCTTAAGTAATTCTGAAATAACCCAAGACTGCCCTAAAAAGGACCCCTCTGCCTTTAAGTCAAGGGCAGACAATTTTGGAGGGGAAATATTTGTTTTTGCCCTCTTGAGTGTCATAGGAATATTTGTGGTCAAATTTCAATGGTACACATGAGTGGGGACGGTTACTTCAGCCCGCCCCACTCAGTCCAGCAGAAGGC